CCTCTGAAAGGTTTACATGATGTCAAAGTCCTAGGGTTTCTAGGTCGCTCAATCTTTGGTGCAATGAAGAACGTCTTCCAGGCTAAAGTAAAACTAAGCTAACAGCTTAGATCTTCTCTCTTCACTCTTTATTCCTTCAACCAGCACTGATGGTAGATCTTTAACAGTAGCGCCACTGATCCACATCTGCCCTCCAGAACATTACTTAGGGAGAATCTATACATGAAGACGATGCAAATTACACTATCTTCCTCCTGAATCAATAGTGTGCCACACTATTGCACGTACCATTTCATCACACACTCGTTACTTTCAATTATAAAACGTTATAGCAGTCTAATGGGAAAACAGATCCGAACAGAAAGAAGAGAGGAGAAGAACAGAGTGGCCAAAGAACAAAACCTTCCGAGACAAAGTGGCTGCCTGATTAGATGGAGACTTCCATGAAGAACGGCACTGTAGATTAAAAATATCGATAGAATAGACATATGTAGCTTAACGAGCTATGCAAATGAAGCCAAATGATTAAAAGAGTAATGAATGGAGATATTGGATGGGCCTGATGGTTTTGAAGCGTTTATTCATACAGTGAACTATAAGCCAAGGCAAATGAAAATGACTTTAAACCTAAAAATGTCTGATGTATATTGCAGACGAAAATTGCTCCAATCAGATTTCTACACAATCTCCAGAAGTGAAAAGTAATTTTAACAGATGTGTTTAATCAGTCCACCAGGAAACCAAGTCATGTTTCTACTTCTACTATTAACGCTTCTGAGGAAGAACTATTTGCTTTTGAACGGACAAAATGTTCTGCTAACTTTTTTTGTGTTGTACTTAAAACAGCTTTGATGCTTTCTATTATTGCAGCAAGGTATCATAGGCTTAAAGGGGACATCGGATGCAACAGTGTGGACACAGCCACCCTACAATTATAAAAATACATTCACTCCTTTTTTAATCCCCAAAGAACCTAAACAGTCTCAATTATCAAGCTGTTTCTACTGCTGACAGACTGTCCCATATTAGCATATTTCCACTCTCAACCAGTTGTACGCTGTCTGCCATTTTCTCTGCGCTCAAACTGCTGTAGCGACAACAATGTCTCGTAAGCAATGCAGGGGTTTTGTAGTCTCCTGATTAGAGAGCCACTGAGGATCCAGTTGATTAGTTTTGTTTTTGAAGGTAATGTGCCACCAAATACACAAAGAAACAGAAGACAGGGACGGGGTGAGCAGTAGCTCATTATCATTTAAAGAGCCATGCACTGAAATGGCTCGCTCTGAACAGAGCTGTTTTTGACAAGGTAAAAAGGGTGTCGTTTTACACAACCATTGAGGAATTTTTACCATAACATTTTGCTGACATTTCATGAAGACCTTAAAGAATCATACTAACTTGTGGAAAATAGGCATCCGATGTCCCCTTTAAAGTAGTTCACCTAAAAATGAAAATGTGTCATCATTCAAGCTCACGTTATTTACTGTGCCATCCACTAGAAGCTGACCAACATATTGTTTTTACAGAATAAAAGGCACAGAGAGCTGCTTTGTGGAACCATCAGTTAACAGTAAAAATCATCAAACTGCATGTTAGCCGAAAGTTTAAAGGATAACATTAAATGTTTAATACTTGAGTTACAACATGTAAAGGATTTGCAAATTTTTTGCTAAAGTAGAAAAAGTTTTTAAATTAATCATAATTTCATTACGTTATTAACAACCATGTTACTGTGAAAAATTCGAACCTGGCTTTTGCTTTTGATCATCCGATAGCTTGCTTTATAGGACAAAGCATGCAATGCACAAATGCGTGACACCTGCAAAGGAACAGCCCATTTTCTATTTTGTAACTTCCCCAGTTGTTTCTGTAACGTAACAAAACATGAGTTTATTTAGTACATCACTAAATAAATTTATGAAGTGATGCAAAGGAAACATAAAAGCAAGTTAAAATATACACAAACAAGGGTGGATGGTATAACATTATGAACGTTAAACCACGCTCACGTTATATTTGTACAAATTTTACTTTGCTTCTATGCTTGAAGCATAGCTAATTATGCCATAAACGATCGGGGCACTCGAAAAGTCGTATGCGCTTTTATTTTGCTGACATCCTTGGGTGTTTTATTAAGCATTAAAGTAAGTCACAATGTCCTGCCATTACAATGAATTCACCCAACCGGATATTCATTAAATTGTCATTTGAATGATCATTTTGAGGTGAGCTATTCCTTTATACTCCGAGCCTAAAAACTCCTAAAACTAACTTAATTTTCTTGCTTTGCATTGGGAGTCATACTTTTTTTTTTTTTGGCCAGAAGAATCATGAATGTGGGTCAGGCTTGATGCTGATGGCTCTGTAAAATTACGCAAGCAATCAAAAACTGCAAAAAAAAAAAAGCCTTTCAGGCTTCCTGTACAATAGATTGACTACCATGAGGAAGATTCCCTGCAGTCTTGCTACTAGCACAAATCAATAGGATTGAATTTAACTTCAATTTGCTTTTTCTTCCATCAGGTATTGGCCTTCAAAGTACAAGAACTCACCGAGCAGATTAGATATTTCATTTGTTGGGAGCAAATTGTATTCAAATATATTTTGAAGGCTCTCAGAACAAGGGCAGAAAAGCCCAAAGAAGATTTTTCCTTTCTCCTCTTGCATTTATTTACAAGCGTAATGAAAATGATTGTTTAATAATGCGATGCCCTAACAGCAATGTACACACAGCCAAAGCACTAACCGGCTCCTGATTTAGCCCTGTCATCATACATTTTTTAAAGCAGGAATCAAAAACAATCTGTGGCTTAAAGAAATTACATGATTCTGCTAAAAGGAATTTATGGGTTGCACCATCTAAATAAAGGCTTATTCTCTGATCCAGATTATTTTAGACGCGCAATGTTGGGAGAAACTAATTAAAAGTAGCTGTGAAGTTATCCACTGAAACATTTATATCCACCTTAGCTTTCATTGGCACAAAAATAGTGATTTACACTATTTATGATAATGAATAGATAATGAATCTATGGATACAATTAGTTTTGTTCTGTTTCATGGTAATCTTCCCCTCCTGTAAGTTGTTGACAGGATCAAGTCAAATAAGATTTGTTCACACATCAGTCATAATTATTACTCTTATTAACGCATCAATGTGAGTTAGGGAGATGTCAAGCTTCTCAACGGATAAAGGACTAGAATTTTGGTCTTTTTCTCATGAAGGTACTTTATGATTCAGAAGATATGGGGTATAGTGCACAAGTCATGGACCGCTTTGAAGACTTTTTTAAGCTTAAAAGCTTCAGTCCCGGTTTACTGCAACTGAATAACATTCAAAAGATCTCTTTTGAGTTCCACAAATGGTGTGGAATAGCATGAGGTTAATAAGTTAATAGAGTTTTCATTTCTGTATGAACTATTTATCCGTAGTTGACGCATAATTCATTTGTACTGACTGTAGCTGCAACAGTATCTATCCAAGCTACTCATAATTTAAAGTACCTTCCCATACACTGTAGACAAGTAGTGAATTTTGGCGTGTGCCGTTACACAGGCATTGATGGATATGGGTCTCTCGTCAGAGTGAAGCCGTGATGTTTTGCTACTGCTTGCCCTCAGCAGTCAGCACTTGGCCCACATTGCACACTTTGAATGAGTATCTGTCACACATGGCACCATGCCTTATTGCGCCGGGTGGAGTTGTGGGAAATAAATAGCTGAGAAAGTTGGTACAGGTACATTTTCCACCAAACTTTCCTCCACACACTGAAGAGAGAGAGTTCTCCCAAACATCTTTATCATAAAAGAACAGGGGCCTTCTTAAGGCATTGTCGTCATCTTATGACAAATACACACAGCGTATACAAACACAGAGGCATACAAAACAGAAATAAAGTACGCCTTTCAGAGAAGGAACAATTAAGCATCTCTGAAGCAACCATGAGACCAGCAAGAAACAGTGCTGAAGAAGGTAGAAGGGAGAAAACAAGAAAACAAGAAAGGAAATAACAAATGGAACATCAAAACCAAGATATATCACTGCAGAATGTCTTAGGCCCAAAACACACTCGATGCAAGAATGTTAGATTGTGATTGTGACTATGATTACATATGGATTACTCATTGCTCAAGCTTCAGATACACATTCTCAAATATAAACATCACTGCATTAACAAAAGCTTACAACATAATTCTGAAAGGAGCGTTCACATTGAGAGCGATTTGGTGTGACAAAGCACCCAGAAGTCACTCATTCTCAGGGGAGTGTGTGATTTGCGGCGACATGAGCAACTGCAATGGTTGGCAATGCTACAAAGTTGGGCAGAAATGTATGCTAATGAGCACTGATGCGACATAACCATTCTCTTTCAGGTCAACCACTGTCACACAAAGCATTTGTGTAGAGTATATTTCAGGCCTGAAGGACAAATTGGACGGAACTTGTAAAAACAAAGTGGAGGCTTTGATTCTTCAGGATTAGACAAGGTCAAACGACCCAGGAAAATGTATCCCCATGAATGCCAACGACTGCAGAGCCTGGGGAAAAGACCCCATCCTCCATCCATTGAGTGCATCAATTGAGCCACCCTTGTTAATTGCATGGTTCAGGTTATTACTGTCTCATAAGTCCATTGGAAGGGTCCCTCTGGGCCCTTCAAAATCATTAGTCTGGACATCCCGTTAAGTCTACTGGAAATCAAGCACTTAAAGGTGTAAAGGTCAAGAAAATGAAAGACATTGGGAACAATCACAACGATTGAATCTCACAAAGAAAAGGAAGATCCTTGGAAAGGTTTAAAGGGGCAAGTTATGACAAATTTTATGAAATTGTGATTGAGAAATTATATTCAAATTCATGCCACTGGGCATAAAACACCCACGCTGGCTTAACACCAAAAGCGAAGAACAGAAAACTAGTGAGTTTACACAGCTGTGCTGTTTTTGGATTCATAACTCATAACTCTCAATCTCCTATTGTAAAAGGTTTATTGACTTACCGATATACTCGAAAACATAAACAACGAAGAAGGGTGTGACAAGGTCATTGATGCCTTGAACGTAACCACTGGCTGGATGTCGTATCGCCCAGATGAACAGAATACGCTCAAAGATCTAGTAAAAAGCAGCAGAAGAAGAAGATATCAGAATATATATATTCAGCATTTGTAAGTAGCAGATATTGATATATACTGATTCATGCAATACAACAGGAAAACTGTTAGTAATAGAATTTGAGCATACAAGGTCACTCAAACGGTTTTAATTAGAGACACAGTGGGATCAGCCACCCCGAGCCAGCAATCAATTAAGAAAATCAATTAAGCCTTCTGAGCTTTTTAATCATTAACATCATGACATTCAATAGCACAGACAGCAAGGTGAGAAATTACAAGTAGCTGTGTGCATATTTATTATTAGATGGGGCTCTCTCTTTATTTGTGGTTTGCCAAGTTGGATGTGTTCCTGGATTTATATAATTGTGGGTTCTGGCACAACACTGCAATTGAACAATCAGATTTTAGGGTTAGGATTAAGGCTACGTACGTTTACACGACAACAGTGTAGTCAAAAACAGAAAAGTTTTTCCCTCGTTTCAAAATGATTCGCGTTTCGCAAAAAACGGACCAAAACGCTGTATTACGTATGCTAGGCCAGTAGTTGGCGCTGTCAACTTGTTAGTAAACAGTACCTGTAGGGAAGTGACGATTATATGATGTATATGATGCGTCTGCGCTGTTGGTTGTAATATTGGTGAAGTAAATCCACACTTCGCTGAAGAAGCGTTAGCGAACTCTTGAGCAGCAACAACAGTACCATGTACTCCGCCATTGTTGTGTATGTTTGTTCGCGCTTGCCTTTAAAATCGACATGTATTGCGCATGTCTACATACCTAACACGTACTATGCACGCGCATGACGTCACCGTTTTCAAAGATTCCCGTATTGGATGTTTACACGGAAACGACAACGGTGCCGTTTTCAAAAACTTCCACTTTGAAACCCGTTTTCAAAAATATGCGTTTTCAGTCCCCAAAACGCCGTTGTCGTGTAAACAAACAGTCAAAACGCATAAAAAGTTTCCCGGTTTTGCCTGAAAACGTTGTCGTGTAAACGGCCCCTAAGTTAGGGCTAGGGTTGGACGCGTCAAAAACATCAATCAATATCAATCGATCATTTCTAATTTTAGGGGTAAGTTTAAGCAACACTCAATATGGCCCCGCTATCAAACGAAGCCCCACCTTCTAAGCAAAAGAGCCAATCCCTAATCGGTAAAGTCAGCACGTCACTGTAGCTGCCGTTAGAAGCCCCGGTTGCAATAGAAACAGTCAGCATTCTGAGACATGCGCCTAGGGCCCCGTTTACACTAGTGTGTTTTCGTTTTAAAATGCATTACTTTTGCTATGGTTACGCCTGCCGTTTACACTACTCCCACGTTTTAGAGACTTTGGAAAATGATGCAGACCCCGTTTTGGTTTCAAAACTTCGGGGGTTGCGTTTCAGTGTAAACGGAGCAAAACGGAGACTTTTGAAAACGATGGCTCCCCACATTCGCTCTGCGTATCCTTGATGACCATGTAAACAATATCATCATGGTCATTGTTGTACCCATAGATGTGTATAGGTAGATTCCCCATTTGACCGCTCCAAGCACGTAGATGCATCCGCCATCTAAATAATAGGGTATCTACCTATACATACCTATGGTTGTACCTCCATGAATGGTCATGTGACATGCGTTTTTGGTTGTGTAGTGTAGACGGAGATAGTTTCTGAAACGCAGTGAAAACTCCAGTGTAGACGAGGATCGTTTTCATTTTAAAATGCCATTTTAAAACGAAAACGCACTAGTGTAAATGGGGCCTAGGACTGTGCATGTGCACTGGCTGATCTAGCCTGAAAAATTCACTTTTTTATTTTTGTTGTGGTATCATTACATTTATGTGGTATTACATTAACAACATACAGTTGTTGTCAGATTTCATTGGTGATTTCAAATATGAAATTTAATCGTAAGCTTGGTGAACAGTTTTGGAGAATTTGATGTTTCATCATTCAAAGAGATAGGAGCTGCACTTGCATGCCTGAGAGGCGTTTCAAATATGGCCGCCGAGTAACATGACTTGCCTTAAAGGGACTTTGGTTTAGTTTAGACCTAGGGATAAGCTTAAGCCCAATGAATATTTCAGTTTTGATGTGAAAGTAGGAGCTTCCCATGTGCATTTGAGGGCTTTAGAAATTAGGTTAGGCATTAAATAGTCTAATCAACAGTTTTAGGGTCAGTAGTTATGGTAGATACTAAATAGACATGCTTAATTTAATCAATATTTTGCCATGTCATCCAAGTCAAATGTACTGTAACTTAAATGTCTTATTTATTTGATAAAAAGTATATATTTTAGTTGATAATAAAGTACCAACATTAAACCTCATCTTCAAACGTTTTATCTATTATATATTTAGAAAGCATTATAAAATAACAAAAACATGTGAAAATTGTCCTTTGCTCCAGAAAGAACAATATTTTGTTATGGGAAGAGCACATACACAACATGACATACACTCGCAATTTTCCCTCAGATTTTCTTCAAAAACATTGTGCAGTCTTAATGTATGTGTTATTCTGTACTGTCATTTTTGTCAACAGCATGTTGTCACGATGCACATTCTGTCTTGTCTGTTGACAAATTAAAAAAAAAAAAGTTCAACATCAGTAATTTGACTAAACTATGTGATCCAGGAACATGTCCTACTTGGCTAAATCAAATCCATTCTTTAAATAAATGTATGAATATAGATGTAGTATTGTGTCTGTGTTTGGAGTAACTTCAGTTCTTTAACTACAGATGTTGTTTTTAAGTTGAATCTTTTGACAGTAAAAACCAAGAACTTTTGTGGGACTTTTGCATTCCTTTCTTTAGAAACAACACCTTAATTTAAAGTGACGGTGACTTTTTGTTGTTGTTTTGTTTGTATTTTTTGTCTCACCTTGCTGTCAGCTCAATGGAAAGAAGCATGAAGTTTGACTTAAATCAAGAGGGAAAATGGAAGACTCTTTCTCTTCTCTTCTCTCGGTCTCATGCAACTGACATCTCCCGCGCTCCTTTCAGGGCGTAATGTATCTGTCATCCCCAAATAAACTCATCTCACACGTTGAGCCCAAAACAATAAATGTGTACAAGGCAGCTCACGCTCGTTTTTTTCCGGATCCTGTCGATCAAATGGTGCGCCTTTCTCATCTGCGTTCTTTTCTATGATCAAAGCTCCATTTATCAAAGACTTTAGACTGGTAATGTGAGTTTCTCCACATAGCTGACATCTCCTGCCTCTTTTCTCCCTCGTACCCTCCCATCTCCTCGAGGTAGGCATGGCAAGATCTCACTCTCCTCCAGAAGCCCATTACATAGTGGAAATTAGACACTAAACCAGGCAGCAGAAATCAATGAGCGAGCTGGAGTGTATTGAAGCGCCTGAAGCGAATACATTATCCATTTATTTGGTTAGGAGACATCCACAGTGGAGGCCTACTTTTACTTAACACTGCATGCTTTTTGATAGTCCTTTTAAATGCAGAGTAATTTTTTCAAAGGCAGCGAGGGAAAAGGAGGAGGAGGAATCTTGCTCAGGGCCACAATGCATCGACATACAATGTCCAGCAAGCCCATAACACTAAATTTTATAATATGAATATGCAAATCAAGGGTCTGGTTATGTACGCCAACAAAAACACTCAGCCAGCATCTCCAAAAAAAAAGTAGACCATAAGGCAGTCTGGAACGGAATTTATTATTATTTTTTTTGGTTAGTGCATGCCCCAATGGCAGAGACGTCATTACAATACATTTTTTGCATGCTCTCATGTGATATAAATGCAGCAATAGTATTTCAAAGCCAGCCGACTCAATGTGAATGAACTCAGTTTAATGGATTGGTACTTTAAAAAAAAAAAAAAGGTCATTATTTACTCATCTGATGTTATTTCAAAATCGCATGACGCATTTTCTTCCAAAGAATACAGAAGAAAATATTTTAACGAACTGCATTGGTTGCTTTTGTCCATGCAATTATAATAAATTGGAACTGACATTTTCTAAGATTCAAAAAGGATGTAAAGGGGTCTATATGACTTGTGCCCTACATTCAAAGTGTTCTGAAGTCATACAATACATTCATATGAGGAACAGAGCGGACATTATTTTATTTTATTTTAATTTTTTTATTAGCATACATTTAAGGCAGTATGACAAATACAAAATGACGTTAATATAATATAATATATTTATGTTTTATTTTTGCAGAATTATGAGAAATTGTCCTTTATAATTGTACTTTTTTTGCATTTAATTTATGTGAAACAATATTTTACATTTATTAAAGTAGTTTACAATATAAATAATAATATTTGTTTAAAAATCCCCAACTTGGGTGTATATATATGCTTAAGAAAGTAAATACTAACCTTTTTTAGGTTAGACTAGATTTTGGTCTAGTCTTTCACACAAACGTCAACGTTATGTATAGATTACTTTTATGACATTTCTATGGTGAAGTTGGATCCTTTATGAATCCTTAAAGCTTTATTCATCAGTCATTTTGAAAGCATGGAAAACACTGACCACCATAGTCAGAATTCCTCCTCTTGTGTTACATGGAGGAAATACAATCTTATGGGTTTGAAAAGACATAAGCATGTTCATTCTGAGATGAACTGTTTCTTTAAGGTGCTTTCTAGTGGCTGGGTGTGAGTTTGTAAGGATGAACGAGTCAAGCGGAGTAAAATGGGTGGTGCAAACATCTCACCTCTTGCACAGAAGCTTGTTGAAAGAGAGGTATAAGAGGATTAGTTCTCGGTATGTCAATGTGAATCTGCGGGGAAGAGACACAAAAAAAGGAGCACAAGCAGGTTAGGACAGAACGGACTAGCGAGAAAGCTCAGCGAGAAACAAGCCTGGCCGTTTGAGGCTGCGCCTGAGAAGAAACTCACTGAATTCTACTTCCTGTTCTGGTATTCTATTTCCTGTGTACCTTAACACATGCTTTCCGACTAAATATTTTGGGCTCGAGACTCAGCTGGCTGACCAGACAGAGAGTTTGACAGACAGAGTTTGACAGACAGATAGATGGATGATGATCGAGTGACATGCTTTTGAGTGGCTGGTGGACAGTAGCATGTGACGTGATTTTGGGCAGTCCATCTGTCCTTACCTCAGTTACCTTGGGCTGCAGAACTAAACTTTCTGGACTCATCCGGGGAATATCTATGTGAATCTGATGGTTCAGAAAACACACACACACACACATATATATATATATATTCAAAATGTGGATGTCATGAACATGAAGAGTTATGGAACTGAGAGAAGACAAACACACACAAATACACATACATTTTCACTACTAGGAGAAGCTTTAAAATCCACCATTGATGAACATTATTTATTCTGCAGGAGTGATTAATCATATGAAGCACTTCATCTGTAATGAATTTTAATATAAAACTTAGGACTGCAACAAACAATTATTTTGATAATCGATTAAACTAACGATCATATATATATATTCAAAATGTGGATGTCATGAACATGAAGAGTTATGGAACTGAGAGAAGACAAACACACAAATACACATACATTTTCACTACTAGGAGAAGCTTTAAAATCCACCATTGATGAACATTATTTATTCTGCAGGAGTGATTAATCATATGAAGCTCTTCATCTGTAATGAATTTTAATATAAAACTTAGGACTGCAACAAACAATTATTTTGATAATCGATTAAACTAACGATTATTATAATGACCAGTAGACTTTGATTACTCAGCTTTTGCAATTAGTTAAAATATTGAGCTATACATATTCTAATAAAGCAAACAAATAAAGCAAATCACTTCAGTTTTTGAAAATCATATTATGTAATTACAATTATTATACAATTAATTTATACACAAAATGACAGACCGAGAAACTATCATTCACCATTTAATTAGCTATATGAAAAAAGTAACTGAATGGCACATCGTTCTGCCTAACATCTCCTTTTGTAAGTCATATGGATAAGAAACAAAATAAAGGGAAGTGATAAGACGTTTTATTTTTGGATAAGCTATTTTATTCACAACATGATCTCATTCCCACTGATAAAAAGATTTTATCATTAGCTAGGTCCACACTTGGAGAGTTACTTTATAACAGAAAATTAAGTTGTAATTCTAACTAAAAGCGACATGGACTCTGGTTTTGCAAGCTTAATACTGTAAAGCTGCTTGATTTAAGGCCATCTATTGCATAAAGTACTATATAAATAAGCGTGACGTGACAGGACTTTATTAGAATACCTAACTGCAGAGCTTGTGCAAACATCTACATCATTGTCATCCGATGTGTTCTTAACTGCTGCTTTCTCACCGCTGTCAGTTTTTGTTGGGTTTATTTCATTATTGAGATGAAAGCGTGCAGCATCTATTTGCATATTCATCCAAACGCCGCTCAGCAGCTTGAGGTTCGGCTGTGTTTGTTCTAAAGCACTGTGTCTTCTTCTCTTGAATTGCATCCAGGAGCGCTACAGCGCCACACTGGTCAAATCGTATAATTTCAAGTTCTAACATTAGGTCATCATAAGCCCTATTTGCACGGGATTAGTATTATCTGGGGAGCTTGTGTGATTTTGAAATTACCCCCCAGCCCCCACATCTGAATTTCGTGTGGTGCATTCGCACGGGATAAGCGAAGCCTGTGATTTTACTCGAATTTACTGACTTGTCTCACAGATACCCGGATGTCAAGGCTTTGAGAGTCCCGTTCTATGGTTCAGATGGATTTTAAAAAAAGAAACCAATAAACTTTCGTGTCATTTACATTTCACCAGGTTAAAATAATGTCTCAAGCTTTATGCTTGATTTATTTGTAACACATTAACCTCAAAACCTTTTCAGCTTTCTCTTTCTGCAAATTGTATGGTGTAGCCATATGATGACAGCACCCAATATACTATCAAACACTCCAACGCAGCTCCATTCTTCGCGAAAGATGGATAAAAAGGCGCACAGCAAACAAAACCCTCGAAAAATGATATGCGACCCGCCAAATGCTGGCCGAATCACAGAAATGCAGATTCGCACGGGACTAATATTATCACAGGACCTCGGTGTTTGGCGAAATATGGTAGGTCATTTGCGGGGGAATTTTTACTTTACAAATTACAGACATGGCCGATTTGCACGGGATTAAGATCACAGACAACCTCCGCAATTATTACAAATGACTGGAGGTCACCAGGTAATACTAATCCCGTGCGAATAGGGCTTTAGATTAAATGACTACTCGACAAAATAAATGTCAACAATTTATTTTATTGTCGATAATGTTGACTAATCGTTTCATCCCTAATAATGATATAATATTTTCACATTTAATTTTAGATTATATTAAAGGCGCAATATGTAAGATTTTTTTATTAAAATATCCAAAAACCACTAGAACAATGTTATCCCAAATGTCTCGAAGAATGTTTAAATCCAGAGAAATAAGCAATTTTAACTAGTGACACGGGTCTATAGTGTCATTGTGTCGCCTGTCAATGATGTCATAACCCCTCAATTTCCGGTTTTGTTTTGTAGAAAACATGGAAACACCAAAGACGCTTTAATATGTTGTGCGTTTTATTAGACAGGTGACGACCGCACAGAGTAGCATTATAACGGAACTTTCAAACGTATCTAGTATGATAAAACAGTGCTGTTTTACCCCACAAACGCACGACCGGAAGGAGCGAAAGAGCTAAAGTGTGGCATAATAAAAGCTCCGCTGCTTTCGAGCCGTGTGTCCCTCTCGTCTCATTAGCAATTGCTTCAGCGGCCTCGTTTCGACGGCTTTCCATTTCACTCTGCTTCATACTACGATGTTAATAAATCCTGTCGGATTGCATCGGCTGTGGGGATGAAGACGACAACTCCCATGATTCCACACTCAGTCACGGCGTCATCAAACTATGCCTTTGTTTGTTTTGAATACACGCCCTCTAGCGGTGAAAACGTACATACTGTACCTTAAATTTTATATTTAAATCTTCCTAGAGTTTTATAAATATGTTATATCTGGTTATATATCAATGTATTTTTTTATATGATTGCGTTAACTATTTTAATGAAAATTTTGCAATTTCCAACCTCCCAACAATGATTAGATTCTCGCATCAGATTCTCCGTGTTTTATTACTGTAAGAAATAACTGGATTTGTTTTAATCATAAATTTAAGGCATTGGAACAAACACTAAATATTGTGCATCATTTTACTTTCAATTAAATTCAATTAAATGAATTACAAAATAACAACAACAATCACAGTAAACGTTTATTAAAATGTTTTTCCAGTTTATTTCAAATTTAATTCTGTACTAAATGTACAGAATGCAGTTGTACTATCATGAAAAGGTCTACATTTCTAAGAATGATTGTAAAATGCAAAATAACTTCTTATTTATTTTGAATAATAAATATGTATTTATTTTTATTTATTCACAACCATTTTGGATTAAAATGTTCTTAACAGACTTTATGAGAATCTCACAACGCCAGTGATCAGTCTTAAATCAGGCAGACATTAATCAGATCAGAGTGACAGCAACAGCTTGATCTTCACATCCTCCTGCCAATACACTGGAGATTTAAACATTCCTTGTCCTCTTTTCCTCTTCTGCATCTAAATATTAAAGACTATCTGTTGATGGCATTTCTAAACACTATAAACGCCTAACATAACAGTGTTTTGGCAAAGCTAGCATACTGCTGCTGCCAAAACCTCAATCAGTACATAAAAACAACCAAAAACCCTGACTACATTACATTCTACCCCTGGCAAAACTGAACTGCTGGCTTTGAACTTAAAAAATCTTCTATTAACAGCAGAATTAGCTCTGTCTGTGCAGAGCTGTACGGGAAGTCAGGAAGTTAAAAGGAAATCACAGGAAGATCTGAATCATCTCAAGAGTATTTGGTTCAGCTAATTATTGCTGCCATCCTGCATAAAGTTCAGTTAGCGGTATTCTCTAGTACTGTAGGAAGCCTTTTTCTATGACTAAGGCACAAAATATGGATAAAAACCCTAGAAAATAAGTGTTATTTTGTCCCCTCCAACAAATAGTCAGCAAAAAGCAGCAGTTTCATTTTATAAATAACTTTTTTTATATAAATTTTTAGATGAGATTTGCCATTTCAACCATGTTACCGTGGCATAATAAAAGCTCCGCTGCTTTCGAGCCGTGTGTCACTCTCGTCTCATTAGCAATTGCTTTAGCGGCCTTGTTTCGACGGCTTTCCGCCTCACTCTGCTTCATACTACGATGTTAATAAATCCCGTCGGATTACGTCGGCTGTGGGGATGAAGACGACAACTCCCATAATTCCACACTCAGTCACGGCGTCATCAAACTATGCCTTTGTTTCTTTGTTTGTTTTGAATACACGCCCTCTAGCGGTGAAAACGTACATACTGTACCTTAAATTTTATATTTAAATCTTCCTAGAGTTTTATAAATATGTTATATTAGGTTATATATCAATGTATTTTTTTTATATGATTGCCTTAGCTATTTTAACGAAAATTGAGCAATTTCCAACCTCCCAACAATGATTAGATTCTCGCATCAGTTTCTCCGTGTTTTATTACTGTAAGAAAACTGTATTTTGTATTATTACTGTATTTTGTCCCCTCCAACAAATAGTCAGCAAAAAGCAGCAGTTTCATTTTATAAATAACTTTTTTTATATACATTTTTAGATGAGATTTGCAATTTCACCCATGTTACCAGTTTGTGTCATTGTCTGAATTATTATTATTTATATAAAATAATATAAAATAAAATATTTAAATGAAACAACAGCAACTAGCTATTTTGGACCAACATCTGCAGGTCTGTTTGTAGCCGGTTTTTATTTATTTATTTTTCTCCCATATTTGAATGGCTGAACTTGACAAATGCAACCACAATGTATTAAAAGGGTCATATGATGCTTTTTTAAAGATCATTATTTTGTGTATTTGGTGTAACAGAATATGTTGACATGCTTTAATGTTCAAAAAAACACACCCCGCCCCGCCTCTCTCAAGCACATCATTTTCAACAAAGTCCCTCCTTCCGACAAGCGCAGTCTGCTCTGATTGGCCAGCTGACCCAGTGCACTGTGATTGGCCGAACACCGCAAGCACTCGTCGGAAATGTAACGCCCCTTACCATAATCGCGAGCTTCATCTTTCAAAATAAATGTAAAGACAGAGCCCGAAAGGGGAACAGAGTCGCG